GATGTTCATGCTGTTGGTGGATCGAAAAGTCCTCCGTCGTCTTTTTTGAGAGAAATTTAACAATATTTAACATAAAGGAATGCTTAAAGCACAAAAGCAACGATCATAAATCGCCAATAACAGAAATAACCACATAAAATGAAAAAAATGAAGCTAGTTTGGGAGCCATTTAGAAAAATCGAATTTTCTCGTAAACTGGAACAGATAGGTATAAAAACCGTTTAGAAAAATTTAAAAATTTTCTGGTACCGACTGAAAATCACTGAGAATATACGGAGTGTGTCATTTAAAAAAGTTAGACTTTTAGGTTTGAAAATACGCGCAATTGAATGAATATTATGACTAAAATTTATTAGATTAAAAATAAAATATTTTGCAAGTCGACGAAAAAATGCTCGCTTTGTCAACACCAGGAAAATGCGAATTTTGAAAGGGTTAAAGAAAAATAACTAAAAAACCATCCAATTTTCGATCTTATTGTATATAACAAAAAAACCAATTTACATGGAAAAGGTTAAATGTTCCATTGGAAAAGGTTGTTTTCGTGAACATTTTTCAAGCATGCCTATGAAACAACTAACACCAGGGAATTAGGCGCGAACTTATTTTACTCTCGTTGGGACACCTTGTACACATGTAGACACGAAATTTATTAATCCAGACCTTAGAGTTGCCAAAAATATACGACCTCGATTTCCATCGGCATTAATATGCAATAATTTCCATAATTTTGGGCTCGAACTTAAGCCCTAAAGTGCAATTTAGTGCGGAAAGTCAAGCTTAAACGCGATGGCCTTAATTGATTTGGCTTTCTAATATGTTACTCTAATTGGCTCGAAAGCAGTTCACAGCATTCTCGTGTAGGGTACTGTGTTTATGAACCGTTTATTTGCCAAAAATTACAATATCTAGGCCAGACGGCAGAAAAATCGCCATTTCCAACACGTCAATGTAAGGCGGATATTTGCATCAGAAAACAATCCATCACGCAAACTTAAATGCCCTGATACAAGGGGAAGACGAATCCACAAGTTTAAAAAAGGAATTTGTGCTAGATTTGGTTCAACAATGTTAATAACAAAGATACTTCTTATTTTCTTAAGAAAAATGTTGGTTTAAAGGTGATTCAAAAACACCCAAACGAAATTCTTATCCGCAACGACACAAAATCTCGCAAAATTCACCAGATTTTTGTTCAGAACGTTCTATCAGAGATTAGTTGACTAATCAACTAATCTCTGGTTCGATGCTCATTTTATTAATTCTGAGCGTCTTTTGAAGTTGATGAGTTTTTCTCAGAAGCTCAGCCGCGGTCAGTGGCGGCTGGCCTAACATCCAACAATAATTTGTTTGAATCCAAATTGGTCTATTACGAACGAAACAAACATCCATCACGGAAATTGTCCAGTCATTAAGGTCGACCATAAAACCAAATTGGGCACTTGGATGGTCTGAATTGATAGACTGAAGTAGGTCGAGTTTTCACGGTATTATACGTGCTGTTTCCCGGTTAATTCATAATTATGGGTTTCGATTTACTTTAATTGTTTCTCCCTAATCCTCGGTAATTTTTTCTTTTTTTTTTTTAATTTGTTTTTTAATTGTTAATCAAAAGCTACTTACCTCACTAGTGAGTGAAGACAGCGACTGTTGCAACGCTGAGGGTTTCCCATTGTGCACCTTCAAAGCATTACTTTCAGTGATTTCTTCTATTACTACTGAGCTCTCTTTTGGTACTTTCAGCAGTGGAACCTCTTTGTACACCTGAAAGCTGTCGTATGTCTTTGCTTGAGCCGCGGGTTCCTCACGCTCTTTTTCCAGCTCTGAAGGTTCCTCCTTGTTTTCACCTGTAAGCGAAGATTTTCTGGATCTTTCCGGGCTTCTGGTCAGATTGTGGAAAACTTCAATTTCATTGTGAACAGGCACCGGAGACAACACATCTTCAGCCCGACTGTGCTTCAATATGGGCGGCTTTAAACTCGCCGGTTTTTCTGCAGCCTTTGAACTTGTGTGGTTAATTCCAGACGTTTCACCTACAATGGGAAAACAATGCAGACAGCTCTATCTAATTTTAGCGTCAAATATCGATTTTCCTTCTGTTCTAACCGTACAGCGGAAGACTAGTTATAGCATTTCTTACGTTCTCGTTATGCCTCATGCAACATTATATATCATATTTTGCTCTCATTAAAATAATCAATTTCATGAATACATTTCCATATTTTGAGTCGGGGCGGAAGTTTATAAAAGCACATAAACTGTGTACAATTGGGGATTGGGTGACTTGCTACTGAGTGCAAATAAAACACAATGCGGTTGAACATTTAAAGGGGTTTTCAAGAGAAATTAAAGGTAGATTTGTTGTACGAACTTACCGGTTTCCAGTGCCACTTTCTTCTTTTCCTGAAGAGCATGTTTCCTGATGGGGATTTTCGACGAAAGCGCACTAAGATTTGGGGCTGACTGATATTGCTTTTTCAAAGGTTTTGGGTCCGGTAAAGTGCTTTTCTTAGGGCTGGATGGAAGCGACGAAATGCGAACTAGATTTTTAAAAAATCTTCACTAATTTCTCGATAATTTAAGAATATTTCTCTTGCCTGGAATAAGGCTTTTCCTGGTAGTAATGGAAACTGCATCAGTAACTGTGATTGTTAAGATGGATTGGTTGTCTTCCTCTTCGGCTTGATGGCTGCTGTCGCTTTCCGGTGTCCGCAGCTTCACTGATTCGCCCCCAAACCGCACTTTCCTCGGTGTTCTTGGAGATGTTCTGGACTCTTCGTAACCTTCAGTTTCACTATCGTCATTCAACACTTTGATGATTGCTCTTCTCCTAAATGATTTCAACTTAATATTCGCGCTTTACAATAAAATATCCCGACTTTCAATAAGACTTTTGCTTTTACTACAAAGCTTTGATGGTGCAGATTTGGTTCTCTAGAGCAACAAATGTTATCGAGCGCTTTTTGGACAGGAAATTCAACTGGTTTAATGAACTTTTTTTCGCATTCATTTCACCAAAAAAGTTACATAATTTGCCAGAATTTGAACACACTTACTTGGAATCCTCTTCACTTTCAGTAAACGTGCCACTAAGCTCGCTGTTGCAGCGACTTTCCTCATGTATCTTCATGGTAATATTTGGTCCAGTCTTCAGCGTTATTTCCGTTTCGAGAATCACTCGGTCTTCTTGAACCATTTCTTCGGAGTTCCATGCCAGCCGGTCTTCTTCCACTGTATAAGTTACTGGACAATTATACATTTCGCACATTTCGTAGTACGACTACGCAGTTAAAAAATCTGGAAAATAAACTCCACTAATTGGAAGCAAACTAATGATGATTAATATAGATTTTGCTCATAATCTGCTCACGTCCAACAAAGCTTCTATGCACTCTTCAAGTACAATCGCTCTACGTTAGCATGAAATCTAAATAATTCACTAATGTTTCCTCGAAGAGTTCGCTTCGCATGCTGATCTTTTGTCCATTATTCAATTAATTTAGAACGAAAATAAGACACCCCGTCAAAAATTAATCAATTCCCGTCTTATCGTGCTGTTCCTAATAGGGTTCAAGCTGCCGAAGTAATTAGGATCGTAAAAAAGCCCTGGCCGCTAATGGTCCTTTTGAAAGTAGGTCCAAAAAGTGAAATACCCAATTATACATTTGCATCGCGTGCGAAGAATGTACTGTTAAAAATCGATCTACAAACAGAAGCCTAAGTTTCTTTTAATTAGACTTGTGTTGATTGACGGCGAAATGTCTTCATTGTTGCGAAAAAGCGCCCGGAAATCGAGCTAATAAACGCACATTTGGTGGCAATTTCCACAAAACCCTTAGGGCTAGTAATGTTTCCCGAAAATGTGCGTAATGTATTAATTGAACTTACTTTTACATTAGGAAACCATGCGTTTAGGTGCATATATTTTGCCACCTTTATTCATAATGTTAATCTAGATTCTCCCAAATAGAATATGTGCAAAATAATCAAACAATTACCTGTTAGGTTCGCTCCCGCCAAACCATCAACGTTCATTCAAACTTAACTCGTAGCACAGAAAAACTCCAGGTTGTACCCTAAAATTCAAGTTCCGCAATGTGCGTGTTTGATCAGCGACCGAGCGTTAGAATGGAAAATCCGCTCCGTTTGGAGCGCTGAGTGAAACTAAGCACTAAAATTCGTAGGAGCTGGAAAGGCGCTGGAACAGAGCGGGTTTCGGGAATTGCTGCCCTAGAAAAACAGGATTGGATTTGCTGGGTGGAAATTTTAACCATATCACTTATGGACGAAACTAACAGAGACAGATGATCAACGCAGTTTGCACTAAACTCTTAGGGAAAGTGAAAAATTATCTCACCCTTTAAAAATTAATTGAGCCTAAAAAGTAGCAAAATCCCAATCAAAATGGGTCTAATTTGTAAATTTTGGAGTAAAAATAACAAAATTGTCCAAACCGCATGCTCTCGTTTAAAAATCCGTAACTTTTTACTCAGAACAGCTAACAACTGAATGTTTGCTCACCGTATAGAAGAGACCTAACTCTGAACGATTTATGGAACAACTCTGTTTGAAATGCGCAAAAACGTGATTTTTCTGTCCTTACAAATACAAATTGGGAAATGGAGCAAATTGCTTTTTTACTCTTTGAAAAAGTCGTATCTTTCAATCAATAGCAGCCAGCAACTTGAAACTCGCGCCTCCTATAGAGCAAAGTTTACTCTATAAATCGTTTTATTCAAAAAATTCAAGAAAAAAATTAAAAAGTTTTATTACAAATGCTTGATCTAATTTTGGTTCACTCTGTAAATGCTGGTCTAAAAATTGAAACTTTCACTACCGGAAAAAAAGTGCGACTGTAAAGAAATGTTAGAGAAAACCAAAGAAGTTTCCCATCTCATAATGACTTCAGGATACCACCGTTTTGAAGCTAGATATTATAAGAATCAACCGAAATATCTAAAAATACCATCCATCAAAAGGTTTTGTGCCCTCTTGTTCAAAAATCGTAACTTGTAATCCTGGGCAAGTAAAAACTTAAAACTCGCACCCCCGATAAAAGAGACTTTCATCTGCGCACTAAAAGCTGATTTATCCACAATCTGTAAGCGCTTGCTCAAAAATCGAAGTTTTCATTCAATTGCACGCTTTTATTGAAAAGTCCATAACTTTTAGTCCATAATCAGTACCAACTTGCAATTTGCGCACCTTACAGAACATGCATCTTCTATCAAGTCTAAAAAGTACATACCGACATTCCAATCAAATTGTGTGTAATTTATAATTTTTTAAAATCCAAACTTTCCAGACCATTCCTTGTTTTTCATTTTCAATCAATTCTACCGAACGACGGCCTAAAAACTCGAAAAACCCATTAGTTTTTATAATTTTTTGTTGACCAATAAAATGCTTCTTCAAACAGCACACTCTCTTCTAAAAAAATGGTCTTTTAATTCAAACCAGGTAGCAAATTGAAATTGGCACACCCTATAGAAGACTTAATCCTAAAAATATCGAAATTTGCATTGATGTTGCACTGAAAGCTAATGTTTGCCCAGCCGGTAGAAGCTGGTTCAAAAATGGAAGTTTTCGATCACTGCACGCTTTTATTGAAAAATCGGTAACTTTTAGTCCAGAGCGCGTAGCAACTTGAAATTTGCGCACCCTATAGAAGATACTCAAGTCTAAAAAGCATCCAGATTCCAGTCAAATTATGTGTAATTTATAAATTCTTGCCTACCAATGAAAAATTTCAAATGTAGAGTTTTTCGTTGTCCGATAATTCTAAACTGAAAAGGGATTTTTCGCGCCAAAAGCGGACAAATACTTTTTGGAATAAGAAGAATATGAGATGGTTAGCTTGAAAACTTGGGCGTTTGTAAATTGTGAAAAAAAGTCCGTTAAAGGGTTTTCAATGCCATTTTGATCCCAAGCCCAATTTAGTGTGCGTGAGTTTCAAGTTGCTACTAGTTGATTGAAAACTTCCATTTTTGGACCGGCACATTTTTCTACAGGGTGAGTAAACGTCCGCTTTCAGTGCAATATCAGCACAAATTTCAGTATTTTTAGGGTCAAGTCTCTTCTATAGGGTGTACGAGTTTAAAGTTGCTACCTCTTCTGAATTGAACTATCCGATTTTTTCAAAAGAAATTGTGCTGTATGAAGAATTTTTTTATTGAAAAAGGATTTTTCGCGGCGTAAGCGGACAAATAATTTGTCTTATTGCAAAAATAAAAAAATATTAAAAAAAAAATCTGTTCAATCAATCAAATCAATTCAAAAGAGGTAGGAGTTTAAAACTCGTACCACCTATAGAAGAGACTTGACCCTAAAAATACTGAAATTTGTGTTGATATTGCACTGAAAGTGGATGTTTACCCACCCTGTAGAAAAATGTGCCGGTCCAAAAATGGTAGTTTTCAATCAACTAGTAGCAACTTGAAACTCACGCACCTGAAATTGAGCTCGGGATGAAAATGGCAATAAAAACCCTTTAACGGACTTTTTCCCACAATTTACAAACGCCCAAGTTTTCAAGCTCACCCTCTCATACAGTAGCACCCTGTACAGTAGCGACATAAACACCATATAAATAAAGTTGACATTGTTAATTCGGACATTTGCTTGTACTGTTCTTTGGTATATCACATACATTCTTTAAGCAAACCGAACATGTCTTTTGGGTCTATAAACAGCGAGAAAATCGATGAAGTCGATTTCGGCCAAGAAGGTAAGCTTGCAAACTCAAAAAAATGTCATATTTCCAGACTTTTCAAATGCTAGATTTAAAACGTTGCTCAAACCGCGACTTGTTGAATTCAGCATTCAATGCGGTTAATTAACGTGTAGCGTTTATGGCATAAAATTGTCGTTGTTCTTTGAAACTGTTCTCCCTAAGCAACCATTTCAATTCGAAATGGGTTATAAGGTCGAAACGACTTACGACACAATTCCAGATAAATCCATCAATAGTTTTCGAGCAACATAAATCCGAGTCACGAAACTTTCCCGACTTGTCTTGCACGCAACGTTGAAGTTCTTAGCGAAAGGAAGCTAAAGGAAATCGCGCTTTCTGTTCAGTATTTTCCCAAAGTTTTCAACTATGAGTGCATGTGAGGAGGAGGCTGATTTTCCGGGTATTTGTAAATCTGTTTAATCCCTTGATTCTCACTGCGGCACCTAATTGAAAAAACTAGAGCTTAATCAGGATTTCTTCATCAAAGGCTTCGACTACGTGGTGGAAATCAAGACAGGAGAGCCTATATGTTTCGGGTCGACAATTTCCAGGAACACGGCGCCTATCGGCAAAGGGCTTTCGCCATTCCAGAAGCGAAACGCCCGGGAACTGTTCCCGCATGGGCCGGCCAGTTATCATCCAGAAAACTTTACCTCCGCCTTAGATGCAGTTCTGAACAAGGTTCCAGGAAAAGGAATTCCTCCTTTATTCTAATTGACATCAATTACAGGTGCGTAGCAAAAAGGGCGTCGCCCCCCTAGCGAGCAAAGACAAGCGGTTTAAAGAAAAAATCATACGAACGCCTTCGCCCGGAAGATATGAGATCGTCTCAAAGCCAAAAACTGTGCCAAATATTGCGCCGTTCGGATTCAAAGCCAAATATAAGCGAGCAGAGAACAACAACCCTGGGTAGGTCAGAAAGCAGCGTCTTCCAAAATCCATTTATCACAAGCCTTGTCTAGTCCTGGAACTTACGACGTTGGGAGAATTCGTAAATGCCGTCGAACACGGTTTATGAACAACTTTGGACGTCCTTCCATGATACACGCGGTGGAAACAGTGTGCGTTTCCGTCCCATCGGACGTTTGCCTAAAGTGCAACGAAATCATCAAAGGAGACTACTGGCATCAAGACTACAACGTCTTCTTGTGCCACTTATGTTGGACGGAAGAAATCCACGCGCAGGAAATGTACACGAAACAGGAACTGAGGGAATTTAAGGCAGGTGCATTTAGAGCAGTAAAACATTTTAATGACAATAAAATAATTACAGAAAATCCGCAACTGTTCCTTCATGCACAGTCACGAGGGCACAGATGCGGCCTTGCTAATCATAGCTCCCAACAAGCTGAAGAAGAAACTGCGCATTGAAAATTACCTGGAGACGTACATTGATTGCTAGTCACAAATAAACGGCATACATAACACATAAATACGACTAATATTGCCTTGTTTGCATTGAAGACTTTCTTACAACTACCGTACAGGTACTACACCTAACAATGAGCGTCTAATCAGTGAAAACATTCCAATAACTTTAAAATAAGTGAGAAATTTAAACATCGTCAAAACTACTCAATATTTGGCTTTGACCACTCAATAAACTCTTTCCAAAACAGTGAGGTAAAATCGGCAGCTGCTTGCCACTAACTCGCATAATTTCCCAAATAATACTGAAGCGTTGATAAATACCTAAGTACACAATCAAATACCCACATCGTCGCATTTCTAGCCTATCGGCGGGTCTTGTCCATCTGGCTTCGATCGACAATCCGAAAAGTCGCTGATCACACTGGTTGCACTGCCATCATTTGCTTCGTCTGCGTTATTGAATTGAACAGGCTGTAGTAGAGAGCTGTTGCGCAAAGAGCCGCTACAGGGCCGTTGGAACATTGTCGGGTCGAAACTGTTGGTTATATTGGGCCGGGAATGCTGCTCCAAGTCCTTGAAGATGCCCTGGATGTCACTAGGATCGGATGGGGCCGAACAACCCGAAACGTAGCGCTGCGCAAAAGACTGAGAAGCACCTGAAGTTAACAGGTTCAGCTTTTCAAGTAAATTGTCGATGCCCAACTCAACCTTGCCTGAAAACCGTCTTAAATTAAACTTTGAACATCCTTTCTTATGTACATTGAAAGTACTATTTACCCATTAACTAGTTTAAACAAATAAATACGCCAAATCCCTACATATACCTTTCAGAACATTCTCAGGAACCTCCCACCGGCGAGTGGGATCGGTAGAACTCAAAAACTTGTTTTCTGATAGCAAGCTTGAATAACTCGACTGTTGTTCAGCGCTGTAAACTCCCAATTCTGCTGAATCATTTTGTCCGCTCGGTCCCGGGTTACTTTCAGCGGCCGCAGTGTGATTGTCTGTGTCGTCGAAATTCGCCATTTCAAAATCCTCTTCAACACACAGATTGTTAATGTCGTGCTCGAACTCATCAGCGGCCTTATCAGTATCGGGGTCTTCCGATTCGTCGCTCACAACTTCAGAAAGCCTGCAAAAACGGAAAAGCTGTTGATCGATGCTGAAGCACATCAATTGCAACTTGCCTCAACCGAAGACGTTGAGTGATTCCATCAAGTTCTGCGAATTTTCTCTTCAGGGTTCGACCAAGGCCATTCGGATCTCCACTTTTAGGACAAGTTGCAGTTTCAGACTTTACATTACTGGTGACCTGCACCATAGGGTTGAGCAATTTTTGCAAATCGTCCAACGGATTCACTTTAATCTGAAATAAATAGGGTAAGTGGTATCAGTACTTTTCCTTTTCGCTTTACACTGTGCTTACGTGAATTTGTCCTTTACAGTTATCGGAGAAGTCCATGATGTTAAACCAGCCCTGTACATTTGGCATTCCCATGCCAATTATACTTAAATCCAAGGCAGCAAAGCCAAGAACCGTATCCGTCTTCATATTGGGCTGCAAAACCGTGTTGGTAGCTTTTTCCCACACTTTAAAAATCAAGCGTTTTTTATCGTCAGCAACCAGATCCATAGGCAAGCGAACTCGACTGGTAAAATCCCATAGTGGAGTGGGACATTTCGGCCACAAACCGGTCATTTGTAGAGGCTCTCCAGGTAGAGTTTCAAACGTCACGTACGTACTACGCAAAAGGTTTTCTTGTTCTTGTTGGCGTATCTTGTCTCTAGCCCGTTTGGATTTGGCCTTACTTTTTCGCCTGCTTGGCAATTGCAGATTTGCGGCTGTGATGCAAATTTCCGCCAGAAAATGCGGGGCTTTCGTCGGCTTGGATTTGCTCAAGCCTAACTCTGTTGCAAGTGAATTTAACAGGGGGGCAGTTTTGCTTAAGGTTGCCATTTTAGGCCTTTCCTTCTCTACTTTCTGGAATTCGGAACTGGAAATTATACAAAAATTTATAATACGCCAAATCAAAACTACAATTACACACCTGTCTCCTTTGGAAATTCCATTCTCAGTATTGGTACTATTTTCCACGCAAGAAGGTTTCTTTGTTTGTTCGATTAAATTCATTGCAGCGAGTAACATTTCACGAGCTTCCTTAACATCAGGCTGGGCTTGGGTTTTCTGATTCAATTTCTCCATATCTGACTGCACTCCAACATCCACTACTTCGGGCTTTTTAGTATGTTCCGAACGGGCAGTTGAAGGAGAGTTTTTGAAATTTTCAAGAGTTTTTCGATTCACTTTCGCCCTGTCGCTAAAATAGCTTTCCGGTTGTTTAAAGGCTGGTTTTAGCTGTGCGGCTTTCGGAAATTTGGCCTTAACAATCTCCTCTCTGAAGCCCCTCTCTAGCTCCAAATTTTTAATTTGAGCCTCCGTCCCTAAAGCAGTCAACACTTGGACTTGTCCGATCAGTTCGTTCTGGCTGGCTGAGTAGATCGGCTCCCACCAATCAGTTCCAATGACTGGCAACTAAAAAACCACTAAAATGAGCTGCATAGTTTTTGGAAACCCCACTCACTACCTTATTCCTTTTTAAATGCTTCAAAATTATTGAATTTCGGAAGCCTAAATAAAACTGATGTAGCGGCAATCGCGTTAAACCGAGCAGCTCTTCAGTTCCTGCGGTCTTTTCCCAAAACTCAATTAGCATGAAATTTTCTCTCAGGTTTAGTAGCAAGCTTTCTTCATACAGCAAAGGGATAGTCTGTGTGAACAATAAAGGGCCAATGAAAACATTCGCTTCTAATGGCTTGGCTCACCTGACAAAAGTTGTATAAAGGACTTGCACTCGCATATACAATCCGGCTCGATGATGTCTCGTTTTGGCAATAGGGTTTACAGAGCATAAAGGAATTTGGGCTGATGTTCAAGAAGTTGGCTTCTGATATGTAGAGAAAGCCAAACAACAACTCGACCTGAAACCAAAACAGCGATTTAAGGAAATTTAGAGTCACTTTGGAAATATGCACCTCAGTTGGCTCAGCCTCAAGCTGCACCGCTTTATCTACTAAGGGGCATGATTGGAGTTTCTCGGTGGTTTTGCTGCATTGAAATATGGGTGAAATTTGGGGAAGTGCTGCCGAGTGGGGCTTTTCGACTGATTTGTTTACACTTGAAGGTTTTTCCTTGCAAACCAATCTTTCCTCCCAAGTGTTTGGTGCGATAGTCGCGATTTCTTCCGAACTACTTGACTCCAGTGGGCTGTCTTTATTCAAAACAGCATCTGTTGTACAATGGCAACTCGTCACTATTGGATGCACTGAAACCTTTTGAGACATACCAAGAAACTCTTGACCAAAGTACAATTTTCCAGCTCCCAACTGTAGAGTCACTTTAAGGGTTCCCACGCTAATTGTGGAGTCTTCACTCAAGAATATTGGAAGTGTTTTCCCACAGGAGGCGGTCGGTGAATGGGTAAAAGCACCGAAATTGAATTTTGCCACTCCCAATTGCTCAGCCTTTTTCTTTGAGGAGCTCTTGAACCTTACAACAAAGCTGATGTCGTGATCTTCCAAATTGCAATTATACAGGTTGCATATTGAATGTATAAACGCTTGGCGCACATGAATGACTGTAAAAGAAATCAAATCTCACAAATGTGCAGTAGTGGGCGTTACTTCAAAGGCAAACTATCTCCAATGACATGAATAGTTGGGAGATCCACAATATTTTTAGCTACAAACCATTGCTAGTTCTCCTGGCACAGACTCTCACAACAGAACTCTCCAAACCGCTGTCGGTTTTCGACTTGCTCCTTACAACGCCTTTGCTAAACACTTCCGGGACAGAATATTCTAGAAAATACGTCTCATTTAAGCGGGAGTCAGCGCGGCCTTTGCCAAAGGACACCTTTTTGCTTCCTGCATTGTTCAAATGAACACTTTGAAGTATAATTTTTAATGAATCCACCTGCTTCAGGGCGTCAGCAGGAACACCCCCCTTTAGCTGTTTTAGCTGGGTTTGTGGCCTTCGTAGGTCGCATTTCAAATTTGTGGGATGATAAGCTGAGCACACAGCACACGCACATTTGGAAAAGTTGCTTTTTCCAATGGTGTTGCACACTTCTTCCATTGGAACTGACCTGGCGGTGTTCAAAGCCATCTGTTCCTGTTCCTTCGTTAGATAATCGCCGTTCAAGAAGGCTTCCAGTAGTTTTTTGCCATTTGAGTTGCAGGTGAGTGAAGTGGCACTAGATACAGGAGTATTGTGAGTTTTGCTGTAAATGTCCCCAGTAAACGGGTCGTTTTGGAGGATGGACTGCACCATGGCGTTCCTCAATCGCTGTCCCTGTTCTAGTATCTTGTCCACTAGCGAGTCTTTAATCCCAGTAAATTCCGAAGACATTGTTTTGAGAAATGATCGTTTAGTTGTATGGGAAATTCAAATATTGCCTTGACAACTTGATGATCAGTCAGACACCGACAGCTAAATGTTGTCAACTTAACACTAACCTATTTTCGACGTTGCACGCAATTTTTACCTTTTATCATAAAGGGTATATGAATATTGAATATATTCAGTATTTCATTGCAGCAGCAGAAACTGATTTCAGAAATAGTTTACATAATTTGCCAACGATAGATCCGAGGAATTTGCCTGAATTTTGAATGGAAGGTTTTGGGTAAACTTGAATGTGTCAACAATGGCAATATAAATAAGATGTAGATAGTCAATTGTTAAAAAATGACTGAGAAAATCAAAAAACATAAAATTTAAACTACATCACAGAACAGTGACAGAAGGGAACATATCCACTGATATTTTTGAGAAAGTAAAACGATATTAACGCACCATAACAAATAGAACATTAATGCATACTTACACTTACACAAGGAAATTGTCTAGAAGCAATATCAAAATAATTGTCCACAACAGAATCCACAACAATGACAACACAATGACAGTTTTACGTTTTCATTTTTTTCCGCGTGAGCGCGCTGTTATCGCGTCTCTCGGATGATCGAAGACGTTATGTTCAGGATTGCCAGGTTTTCGTTAGCTCCATAGAGAAAATTAATTTTACTTTCTCTTTTCTCTCTATATTTACTTACAGTAGTTTATTGGCTTTATCTATGGTCTGTGATTGAAATTTTGTTGACATTGGTGACACATTGATGATTAATGATTGTAATTTGTTTTGTTCCAATCAGCTTTTGCAAGCTTTTAAAGAAATGGAAACAGATCGAAAAGTGTGTAAGTATTGTTTTATGATATAAATGTCATCAACTCCAATAAATGAACAATTCTGACAAGTCTGAACTGTCACTCGACAACGAGTAATTTGACGTTTCGCAACGCAATCATCGGTGGTTGAACTCATGATACAACGAATTCATTGTATCATGAGTTGAAGTCGCTAATAAACATTGTCAAACTACACACACAAATGTCAATAATAGGACGTGAACCGTCGATGTAATACAGGTTTGCCATATTTCTAATATCTGGGAACTAGCAAAGGACAGCAGGTAAACAGCAAAAGACCTAAAACTGTAGGAAAACAAACTTTGAAATTTGCTTTAAAAATAATTCCAAATCAAATTCATTCCTGGGTTTCAGTCATTTATTGTCTCTATTTATCAATCAAAATACGTTTCGGTGTATTTTTCCACCATCATCAAGTTTTCTAAAATAACAGATAGTTAAAAAAAATTGTTATTAATTTAAAAAACAACCAGAGTTCGTCAACAGCCTCATCATATCACACATTAAAATACATCACAATGGCAATACTTTAAAACATTCTAAAATTAATTAGGCCTAACAGGTGTTGTTGGGAAGAGACTAGAATTCTTCGTTCACATACTTAAATATTTTTACTTACATGTGTAGCGTTGTTGCTACATTTGGAGTATTAATTTTGTCCATTATCGGACACAAAACGAATAAAATACTGTTTATATTGATTTCTTTTACTTTCAGCTATTTTTCTTTGCATTCTG